CGGCGGCAAAATCTAATAATCTGTTTCTCTACTACTTCCACTTTTCCTTGAGCTCCTATTCTCGTTTCAATATTTTTTTCCGGGATTTTCTCATAATATTACTCACATTGGCCAATATCAATCATATTTTGTCTTTCTCCTTTCCTACAGTTTTTATCATTTTATTACTCTTTATCTCCTTTTTTCATCTCTTTCTCTTTTCCTTGTCACTTCTATTCTTACCCTCTCACTTGCAACTCCTCTTCATCTGCCTCCTTCTCTTCTCCTCTTTTGTTTCTCTGCCTCTTCATTCTCTCCCTGTCACTTTACATCTATTTCCTCCTGTTCCTCCATCTAATCTCCTGGGGCTCCCTTTCCTAACTTGCCTTCTCACTCATCTTTACACTGTTACTACCTTCTACACGTATCTAGTTAGTTAAAATACCTCTTGCATATTTCTTCCTTCTTTCTTCTCTTATAGATATAATTGATTTTGTCTCCCATCCTCCCCACAGCTCTGGGGCGATGGAGATATAGTAAAAAAATATGCGATTACTCCTGTGTATGGAATAGGCTATTCTGAGAGATGGCATTTTACGAATGATAGTGACTCCAGCTCTGCTGGAACGGAATCTTTGAAGCTGTCGTAAGTTGATGATTCACCCTTGCTGGAATACTTTACGATATTCTCTTTGCCTTACTGAAGTCTCCTAGCTCAGGCTGACGCTACCGAAGTCTCCCAGCTTAGGCTGGCGCTACCGACGTCTGCCATCTTAGGCTGGCGCTACCGAAGTCTACCAGCTTAGGCTGGCGCTACCGAAGTCTACCAGCTTAGGCTGGCGCTACCGATGTCTCCCAGCTTAGGCTGGCGCTACCGAAGTCTTTCAACTCAGGTTGACAGATTTCAACAACCCCATCTTGCTTGATGAAATATGACAGGGAAACATGGCTAACTTTTGTTCGAAACATGGCTAACTTTTGTTCGAAACATGGCTAACTTTTGTTCGAAACGCAGCTAACTTTTGTTCTCTCTGCAATTTGAAGTACACAGAATATGGCAGCAGCACACTACAGATGTATTCAATTTCTCTAAATAAAGAGAATTCTTCTCTATTTCCATCATTGTATTTCCCTCTCTTCCTCATCCTCACATATATCTATTCCTCCCTTCCTTCCTACCTTCCTTCGTCGTTCCCTCTATCTCCTTCCTTCTATCCACCCTCCATGTTTCCACTTTCCACTTCCTCCTTCCCGACTGCCTCCTTCTTTACCTCACAGTTAAGCATTCTCTTCCCTCTTTCTCCTCTACATCTTCTTCTTCTCCATCCCCTTCTTGCTTCCTTCTACACTACTTCCTTATCTCCAGTTCCTTCCCACTTCCTTCCACCCTACCTTCTTTCTCTCGCTCTCTCTCCTTCCCACTCCCCTTTCCTTATTCCCCCGTCCTTCCTTTTTCTTACCATCTCTCCATCCTTTCACTTTTCCTCCTTCCTCCCACCTTCTCCCCTACTTTCTATCCGCCTTCTTCATCCGCCTTTCTCCTTTCTTCTTTCCATACTCCCTCTTCCATCCTCCCTCATTTCCCGACACTCTTCTTCATTCCTGACACTCTACTTACTCCCATTCTCCATAGTTAAACCTTCTCTCCTCCCTACCACTCTCTACCATTACAGTATTCCCATTCTCCATCCTTCCTTCCTTCTACATCCTTCCATCCTCCCGCCTTTTTCCGACCTTCCCTCATCCTCTCCCTCCCTCCCTCCCTCCTTCCCCCATCCTCTCCCTTCCTCCCTCATTGTCTCCCTCCACACAACCGCCAACCACCGCTTATTTTCAAGGCTTAACAGAGGATTTGCTTAAGCCGGACTGTATTTTACCCCAGAATTCTGTAATAAAACTTAATTTGCTAGCGACTTACATTCAAATTTTGTGGCAGCGAGTGTGTGGGGAGGGGGGGGGGGAGCGGCGTAGTTCTTGTTGGAGATCTCCAAATGGTGGAGATGGCGATGGGATGTTGAAGATATTAGTTTTTGTTAGTACTGGGACAGGAAAGAGTGCTTCCTCCTTGGTGGTGGTCGTGGTGGTGGTCGTGGTGACAGTGTTGGTGGTGATGGTGGCGGTGGTGGTGTTGGGGGTGACAGTGGTGGTGATAGTGGTGGTAATAGTAGTGGTGATGGTGGTTTTGGTGGTCTTTGTGGTAGTAGTATTGTTGGTAGTGATGGTGTTTGCTGGAGAGAGAGAGAGAAGGGGAGAGAGAGAGAGAAAGAGAGAGAGAGAGAGAGAGAGAGAGAGAGAGAGAGAGGCGAATGTAGTCCCTGTTCAAAAAAAGAAGAGCAGAGCAGAAATCAGCAACTACAGACCAGTGTCACTCCTGTCAATCACTGATAAGATCCTTGAGACAATAATCTCAAGACAAATGACAGAGTTTTTTGACTACCACTCACTACTTTGTGATCGTCAATATGGCTTCAGGAAAGGTTACTCTGCTGCTGATCTGTTTTAAACCTCTCCCCTAAGTGGCACCAGTCAAATGGATGAATCCAAAGTCAGCTGTGTGTAGCACTGGACATTGCTGGCGCTTTCGACCGGGTGTGGCACCAGGGCCTCTTAGCAAAACGTCAAGCACTGGGAATTGCAGGCTCTACGCTATGTTCTCAGTGACTACCTTCATGGTGATCTCTAAGTGTAGTTCTCAATGGAACGGAATCAGCAAGACATTTCCCATTGGGGCAATGTTCCACAAGGAAGGGGGTGCTGGGTCCATTGTTATGGAATGTCTACTTCAAAAGACCTTCTTCATCTCATCCCAGAATCACATGCATATGCAGACGACTGTACACTGACATTCACTTATCCAAGAGAAGAAATGCCAGCTGCTCTAAGCTACAAACAGTCACCAGCTGAGAGCTTTATCAGCTTGGGGAAATAGATGGCAAGTAACATTTGCACCTGAGAAAACGCAAATGATGATCGTCTCTAGGCACCATGATGATAATGCTGGTGCAGTAGTAAGGATGAATGGGAGGTTGTTGGCACCTGGAGAAGAAGTTGATATCCTTGGTGAATTTGACTCCAAACTAACCATGAAGAAACCATGTTGTAAATCTTGCAAACAAGGCAGCCAGGAAGCTTACAGCACTTCGCCGTAAACTCGCATCTGCTTGACAGTAGGGGTTGCAAGATCTGTACGAGGCACAAGTACGCTCGCACCCTTTAGTTGCTCCACTTTCTTGGTTTGCTGCCCCCCCTCTCATCTGCGACTGCTTGACAGAGTAGGAACAGAGCAAGACGTCTCATCTCTCGCCCGGACCCATCCTGGATAGATCTGTCAAATTTAGCAGGCCTTCAACATAGGAGGATGTGGGTGGCCTTACTGTTATGTACAAGGCCAATATTGTCAAAATACCACACTTGGATTCACTTCGAGGACAGCGTGAAACAAGCTTTATGCCACAAGATGGGGAGAAAGCAGGGAACTTCACTCTGGCTGTACCCTTTTCCAGAACACACCCATCTGA